ATTGAAACATTAAATTTTAATACATTAAAATCTTGATGTTGTTATGCAACATATATTGTGTACCTTATTGTAAATTATTATTATAGAAATTGTCGTATTTATGACGAGCCCGTGCGTGGAATAAAGAGGAAGTCATTTCGGTGATGGTGTCTAGTGTCTACAACTTTTTTTTCGAAATCGTGCTTTTTGATCGTGTTCAATTTTAAATCAAATACATTGTCTTTGGTTTTTCATTATATACCAACGTAATATAATTTTATACATTGACTAACTGACTACAGGTATTGTATGTGATTATAATCAGTTGATCGCCGTTTACACGACTACATAAAGATACAAATACAAGAAACAATACATATATAAAGAAATAAGCTTTAATATCTATAATCTATTACAAGTATAAATTGCCCAGTTGTTGGTCACATTATACACATTATATCGTGTAGAAACTTAATGATRTTACATACAAAACTAGTGCTATATACAGTATCGGAACTTTTTAATTTTAAAAGCAATTTAACCAAGACAATATTTTAACATCAAGTAACGACGTAACGGCAGACATCACTCATTGACGAATAACTGTAAAAACTGTAGTGTTTTAGATGTCTACAACATGCGTGTTGATGCATCTCCAACAACTTGTTGGMAACAAGACTTAATAGTTGCAATTGATATTTGCATTTGTATAATATATTTAGCTAATGCGCAATGGTCATATATGGTAAAATATTTTATATATTTATGGTAAAATTAATATTAAAAAGATTTTTTTTTTGTGTTCTGTTGCTGTAATTAGTGTAATTAATAATACATAAATCCTAATTACAAATATCAATTATGYTCAGTTTATGTTTTTCTAGACAAAATTACAAAATAAATAACTCAAGCGATAATATAAAAATTCTAAATAAACATTTTAATTTAAATATACCTCTTCCTCCTTATCATAATATATGTATTGTAAGATGCTCAATGTTTATATTTGTAATTACTTATTATGCAGCAATGAAATGTTTATAGAATATGAGTATAAAGCGTGTTATCATGAAACTATGAAAGCCGAAAGGTAACAATAAGAGAATCGGAAATGGACAACTACTTCAATGATCACGATTTCAAGTCGTGACAGTAAATTATTACAGTAAAAGCGTCCGCCCACAGTATTGCATCTGGATAATAATTCAGTTATATTTTATTTATGAGATAAAATATTAAATTTAATCTTTGTTATTACTTATTAATTGAATAGCAAAAATATAAAGAACAAAATATAAATATCATTGGGTATACCTACCTACGTACAAACGTCAAAAACTCTAAAGTTTTATAAAACCAGAGAAAGGGCGAGAGAGTGAGAGTGAGATTGCTCGATTGTGGTAAAAGCAAATTGTTTGACTCGTTAAACAAAAATTTRAATTTAAAGTACGATATAAGTACTATTTTACTACAACATTAAGAGAGTTAAAAATAAAATTATTACAGCAATATTGTACGGGATACGGGAATATACAATAACAATGGAAACTTTTACACCTTTAAATTTTAATTAAGAATTCTCACCAGACTTGGACTATTGGGACTYCAATCTTTGCAGGTATCCGTGAGACGAAAGAACGTTAAACAATGTTATTTACACATTATATGAACATTGTGTATATAATTGTTTATAACAGCTGTTCTCAGACTATGGTACGCGTACCACTATAGTGGTACGCGACTGATTGAAATTTAYTTAAGTGGTACGCGAAAAAACAAGTTTGAGAACCGCTGGTTTATAAGAACAATTTTAATTGTATTATTTTAATT